ACATCCAGGAATACAGGTGGAGAGCCAAACCATACATGTCAACCCTCTCCAAGAGTACATGCATACTTAGCAAGACAATGGCTCCGTTCGGCTTGCTGAATCTTGGTTGAAATTGGCTGAAAACACTGTTCTGGCTGAAATGTTGTGAGAGAAAAACACTGTTTCGGCTGAAAAAAAAAGACGAACAAGCCGGATATGGGGTAAGCCGAACAGGGCCAATAAGCTTCCCTACTGTACTCCCTACCTTTATGTACGAACCGTACATATTGACAAGACTTTAACCTCTGGAAAATATCCTGGAGGATCATCATATAACTGCAACGTGGTATGTCTTTGATGTTCTTGACGACATTTAGACAATCCGATGCCACTAACAGATTGCGGATACCACAATCTTCAGCAAGAGCTAGTGCTTCCAAATAAGCTAATGCTTTTAGAGTTTCAGGGTCAATTATGTTTGGAATAACCATGGCACTAGCTGCAACAAAATTTCCCTGATTATTTCGGCACACAGCTCAATAGTGAGCCATTCGTTTTTTTAAGAAAAAAATAGTGAGCCATTCGTGGATCACAAGTTTTCTGAGCTTGGGCTGGTTTATTGAACTTACACTCAGGCCCATAATATGATTGCTCGCTGTGCCGAGGCTAGCTCTATCTAGCGGCCCAACACGGAGCCATGCCGTGCACCGTGGGCCCACGGCGTCGTGCATGTCGGGAAGAAGGAAAAAGTACATCTGATATCCTTAACCACTGAGAAAGTTCAATTTGTCTCGTTCAAAAAGGTAAATCTTATAGTTTCAAACGTTTGCGAAGTCTAAAAATTCGGTTTCTAATTTATGAAGGCATGTTTTCTAATTTAGAGAGACAAATTAGACTTTTGTAATAGTTGAAAGAGATGAGATAGACTTTTCTCATAGAGAAAAACACACCACACACATGGACGATAGCAAGCAGCCTGTCTGACAGTCAACCTACGGTCCCTCAGCAGTCAGCACACATCGCAACCGTCCTGCCCAAACATGCCGTGGAATCCAACGGCCACACCGAGGCGCGGGCCGTTCCGCTGTCCAAACGCGCGCCGCGCCGCGCACCTACCCACCTACCACGCCTGAGAGGCCTGTTCGGCTGGTATTATCCACAAAATCCTGGAAACTCCCGGCAGAAGAACGTGGCGGGCCAAACCGACGTGCTCCCGGGCGTGTGGCGACGGCGACGGCGGCGGCGGCATGGAGCAAGAGCGGCAGGCGGTGGCGAGGAACAGGAAGGTGGTGCTGCGCGGGTACATCGAGCGCGCGCCCAGGGAGGACGACATGGAGCTCGTAGACGGCGGCGCCATGGAGCTGCGCGTCCCCGAGGGCGCTGGCGGCCCCGCGGTGCTGGTGAAGAACCTCTACCTCTCCTGCGACCCGTACATGCGCGGCAGGATGCGTGACTTCCACGGCTCCTATATCCCGCCCTTCAAGCCTGGATCAGTGAGCTTCCCTCGTTTTTTTTTTTGGAGCTTGGGCTCTTTGGTTAGTTGCTCAAGCTGCAAGCTGCGAAGTGGGGGGTGGACGATTTGTGCGCTGATTGAGCAATTTCTTGATCTGTGAAGCCTATTGAAGGGTTTGGCGTGGGGAGGGTGGTCGACTCCACTCATCCAGGATTTAGTGCCGGTGACATTGTTTCCGGGATGACTGGCTGGGAGGACTACAGTCTGATCACCAAACCTGAACAGCTCAGGAAGATTCAGCAAAGCGACATACCACTCTCTTATCATCTGGGCCTTCTTGGTTAGTTCCTACTCCTACTTATGCTTTTTCTGTTTCAAAATTTTCAGCTGTATTCTAAAGCATAGAAAACACAAATGATGTGAAGTACCAAAACACGATAGGCTGTTGAGCAGCAGCAAGTGCATGAACTCTTTTTGTTGGAAAGACTTACCTTGGCTGAACAAATTTATTGTATACAAGGGATAAGAAAAGGACATAATCAAATAATTCAATGCCCCTCGCGCCTTGTAGACATAATGCTGTGACAAGTACACCAAAGGTACGGGGTTGTGTGATTGAAAGAAATGGGAAACCGTACCCTTGGTTGACAGATACTGGAATGAAAAAATATTTTCCTCTCTATGCTAGTCATTGTTTAATCCACCAGGCTTATGTCTCTTATTATGTGCTTCCTCCATGTATAGGCATGCCTGGTTTTACAGCTTATGTTGGATTCTATGAGATTTGTTCACCAAAGAAAGGGGAGTTTGTTTTTGTTTCTGCTGCATCTGGGGCAGTTGGGCAAATTGTTGGTCAACTTGCAAAGCTCCATGGTTGCTACGTTGTGGGAAGTGCTGGAACAAATCAGAAGGTACTAACTCATACTAGTACTTCATTCATACTTACCTGCATGCATTGCCCATGTAGTTGTGTCATCCAGGGTCCTCAATATCTTTCAGGTTGAGCTCCTAAAGGAAAAATTCGGATTTGATGCAGCTTTCAATTACAAGGAAGAGCCTGACTTGACTGCTGCACTAAAAAGGTCAGATTTTCTTCAGGGAAAAACCATACCAAACTAATTTAGCTTGCAGGAAAAATTGATGAACCAAACTTGGATCATACTGAAATGGATGAACCTTTGGTGGATATAAACCTTTTTGCGAACTAATGATGACGACCTTATGCAATCATCTGATAATAGGAAAAGATTTATGTACCTAGGACGAACATACTATTCTTGAATATAATAGGACATCTTATCATTATTACTAAAATGGTGGAACTATCGATGTAATCTTTATCTGCACATGTTTTTCAGTCACGTGTCAAGTAAAGTTGACAAATAATCCATCCAGATCGTATTATTACACAGTGATCTTGATGTAAAAATGCATGTTTTCCTATGTAGGTACTTCCCTGAAGGCATAGACATCTACTTTGAGAACGTAGGTGGGCCAATGCTTGATGCGGTACTACTCAACATGCGAACACACGGCCGCATTGCAGTGTGTGGTATGGTTTCCCAGCATGGGGTAACTGCTTCTACTGGGATCCACAACCTGTTCTCCTTGATAAGCAAGAGGATAGAGATGAAGGGATTCATCCAGAGTGATTATGTACACCTGTTCCCACAGTTCGTGGATGACATCACCAAGCATTACAGAGATGGGAAGATTGTGTATGTGGAAGATGTGAGTGTTGGGCTGGAGAGCGGACTGGCTGCCTTTGTTGGTCTGTTCAGTGGTAAAAATATTGGGAAGCAGGTCGTGTGTGTGTCGCAGGATTGAGGGACCGTGTGCATTTTCGTCAAAAAAAAAAATCGTGTGCATTCTAGTCAATATTAGAAGAGCATAGTAATATCAGAACCTCTGTTGCATTGAACAATAAAGGGAAGCCTCATCTCTTGTTGGATGACATGCTCCGTTGGATGTAGCATGATCTTGTTCAGACCTTGCCTGAGTACGACAGTACGTTGTCCCATTGAATATATCAAGTGAAAGTATTTAACTATGAATTCATACTTTTTATTCTGAATGAATTCGAGTGCTTACTGGCTAGGAGAGACGTTGTCTTTACTCTTCACATGTTTTAGCTGCCCGTCACATATAGGTTAATCAGTGTCCTGATAAATCGGTGATTGCAATGGCATCAGTGTTTCCAAGGTAGTGTCAGTCTTAGAAAATTGCTCATTTCCGGAGACCATTAATACAGAGGATGTCTCAATTTCCAGTCTTGGCTGCCAGTCATATAGTATTGCTTAGTCTGTTAGTCACGATGTGATGGCATCAGTGCACTGACCTTATGCGAAAAAAACGTTGACCCTGTACGGCAGGTACCACCTATTTTTCTAGTGTTGTCAGTTTCAGACTGCTTACTCGACCTTTGTCTTTCAGCGAGGGAGGGAGGGAGGAAGGGATCCTCCTGTCCACCATCTGGCACATAATGGATGGAGGCCGGCAAGAATGCATGCCGGCATCCATCACAAAATGCCCCACTGACCACTGAGTTTTGAAATTGATTCGTTTACATTGGGTACAAACGATTGACACCACTTGGAGGCATTGGCTGCCCCTCATCTAAGGGAGACGCTGTCAACTGCTTGTACGTGTCAAGCCAGGACCGGAGACTCTCCCAGCCTCACTGCGGTGCGTTATCGATGGAAGGTCGAAGGCAGCTCCTTCGTGGAAGCAAGCGCGTGTGGACCTGCCGAAACGCTCGCTTTCCACACCGACATCTTGCCGGAAGAAGCGCACCAAGTGGCAACTTCCGGGTCCGCGCAAGATCATGGACGCGTCCAGTCTAGCGTCAGCGTGGCCGCTCAGCTCATCGTGGCAATCTACCTCCGGCACTTCCGTGGTTCGACGGCCGAGTGCAGTGAGGCCACGGGCCGACGGGCGCAGTTGGTGGCACACCAACGCTGACATGTGTGGCACGACGCACGACCGGCGCGGTGAGAGCAGCCAATATAATGCGCGCGCCTACGGAAGTTCGCGCCAGAAAGTAGGAGCATATAGCAGAGTTCACCCAACCGGTGCATCACATCCCATCTCCCTCACTTCCCTCTGACACACTCCGGCAACCGCCGCCACGATCGATCAGATCCGGCCAACTACCCTGCGCCACCACCCTGAAGGCCTCAACCTACTTGTTGCAATCTGGAGGGATTCATTCAGATTGGCACTTATCCGATCTTCCCGTCTCCGCCGGGCTCCTCAAACCCTGCCGGCACGCACTATTACGATTTCACCTCCCCTTATTACATCTGGAGTCTGCTCCGTGGCACCCCTAAAGGAACAGTATTTCTTATTATCAGCTGGAGTCAGTTGTCCGGTTGTCACAAGAAAAGCTGTAGTCAGTTGAGCATTTCTCTGGTTGAGTGAAGCTTTGTTTTCTAGTGCTTCCACGCCATGTCTGCAATGCTCCTTTGGCTGCTCCTCTTGAGCGCGGCCAGCTCATCAGCACCGTGCATTGGTTCTGAACTCGACATCAGATGCCTCAAGATCGTGAAACAATCAGTGATTGATCCCAATGGCAATACTGAAATCATCATGCAATTTCGACAACACCACCGACGGTTTCGTATGCCGGTTTACAGGTGTGGAGTGCTGGAACTTCGACGACGAGAATAAGGTCTCCGCGTTGCGTCTCAGCAGCTTGGGTCTTGAAGGCCAGTTTCCTCGAGGTCTCGAGTACTGCACAAGCTTGGATGTGCTGGACCTGTCAAACAACAATTTTGCAGGACCCATCCCTTCGAACATCACACGGCAGGTGACATACTTGACATCTCTTGACCTCTCGTACAATAGTTTTTCAGGTGAGATCCCAGTCGGCATCGGCAATATGGCCCTGTACGCCCTGTACATTCAGCACAACCAACTCAGTGGTCAAATTCCAAGGGAATTTCATGGGCTTCTTCGGTTAACATCGCTCAATGTTGCAGACAACCGGTTGTCTGGGCTTATTCCTTTGTTTCTATCCAAGTTCCCGGCATCAAACTTTGCTGGTAACAAAGGGCTCTGTGGTCCACCGTTGGATGACTGGCAATTAATTAATTAATTAACTCCTCCAAACCCATGTTTTTCCCTGGTTTTTCACGGCGGCCACGTCACCCCGAATTCAGGCAGTGAGCCTAGCTAGCAGCAAGCCACGTCACCCCAATTCACCCCAAATAAATTGATGCCTCCCCTTCTCGAAAAAAAGACGGGCTCCCTCCCACGCCCGGCCTCCCCTCCCGCTCGTCTCGCTCACGCTCCTCTCGCGGCGCGCCGCCTCCGCCGCTCGCGCCCCGTCCCCTCCCCGCCCGCGCCTCCCCTCCCTCTCCCTCTACCTCGCTCTCTCGACGTGGTGGCGCACCGGCGCGGCCCCGGCGCGGGCACCTCCACGCGTGCACGGCCTGGGCGGCGGCGCCGCTGGTGTGCGCCGTAGCCGCGCCGACGGGCCCAGTGGTGGCCGCCTCCTGCCACGACGCGGCGCTCGCGAGCCCCGCCGTTGGCCGCGGCGCGCAGCTGCCCCCCGGCGTAGCCTGCTCCCGGCGGTCCTCGCATCATCCCCTCCTTGGTTTGGTCCCCCCCTCTCTCCTTACCTCTTCCTGCCGGATCTCCCTCTCCCAGCGTTCGCGAGGCTCGCTCCCCTTCACTATGGACGGTGATCTATGTGCACACGAACTGTGCGCCTGTGCTACAGGAAACCCTAGCTGCCTGTCCTCATCTTTTCGCTACAAATTTGGCTGCAGGTTTCCTAGTGTTTCTTCATGTGCACGCCGTTTTGAATCAATAGATATTTTTAATGTGTACTTATCTACTGCTTAAATCTATAACAACTCTTAGTTCTCACATAGCTATTTGCTTCATCCAACTCGGTGGTTGTCTTGAGTGTATTTTATTTTGGGTGGACCATATCTGTTTCAGGTCAAGCAGGTAGTCACTATTGTTACTAGCTTGTTCAAATTTTATGTTTGGGGCTGAATTTATCATGCTTCGAAATTGGTAATGTCTAAGCTATCTCTGTATAACTTAGGTGTTGCCATGTTGGTCAGCATAGGCACCATGGCATCACTCCCAAGTCCTCATAGCAAGCAAATTAGATCCCATGCCTTTTCCGTGCTACTATTAAGAGATTTCATCATTTTTAGAATATGTTGGGGGAGCCCATACGAAGTATGGGCCAACTCCCCCTCGAAGAGGCCTGATGAAGGAATAATGGCGGAGGCTCTATCCAAAACGGCGGAGGCTCTCCCCAAGACGGTGGAGGCCCAACACAGGAACAATGGCGGAGGTTCTCCCTGAGATGGCGGAGGTAGTTGAGCCCTATAAATAGGGAACACTTGTAACTGTACACGGGGGGCTGGTGAATGAATTAATGAAACCCTAGTTCTTGTGAGTCGGTATTTGATCCTCGTTCTCTTTTAGGCAGTGCCTCTGCCGAAGCTAGAGTCCAGAGCCTCGACCAAAGTCGAAGGCCTCCGCCCCTTTCTTACTCCCACTTTGCCAAAGCCTACTGAATCACTCGTTTAGCGACCTTCTACCCGGAGCCTCTGACGGAGGATCTTGTCCGACAGGAGTGCGCTGCGTTCAGAAACCTCCGCCCATCTTAGGCGAAGGCCGGCCTCCGCCCATCTTAGGCGGAGGTCTTCGACCTTAGACGAAGGCCTCCGCCCATCTCTCGCTCTTGTTAGAAACCGATGTTTCAACAGAATAACAGCTCTACATCGTCTGCGGTGTGTGTTTAGCTAATACTGAATGTTTGCCTATTGAGATATTTGGTTTTGGGATGAATTTTATTCTCACTTACCAAACATCCATGCCAAGAAGGTAATTTCTCTTTCAAAAAATAGGTTAGCCTTGCAAATGTTATCTAATTCTTTTTCATGGATCTGACACAACGATCCATTTCTTAAAAGTGAAACAACACCCTTAACATTGTTGTAGGGATTTTTTGAACTCTTGCTTAAAACATCTAATCGCACACAGGATATAACACTTTCATGTTTACAGTCCACCCAAAATTGTCGGTTTATATTCTATTACTTAGTATTTGTAAACAGAGCTAATGGTGGTGTTTACAGTCCACCCAAAATTGTCAGTTTATATTCTATTAGTTAGTATTTGTAAATAGAGCTAATGGTGGAAAAAAACCAGGATTGGATAGACCTCATTGAAGTGTTTCAGCCCTATATTTATGGCTGTTGTAGCTACTTGCTGCGTAAACACCTATGTGTGTAGTCCTAATTTTAGCTATTTCTATGTGCCAGCTTGTTACTCATAGACTTCCAGAGCTTGATTTAAGAAAAGCATTTGTATTCACATTTTTACGCCTTGACCTTGTCAGGCCAACTTTACATGTCTGCTAATTTTTTTCTGAGCTTCAAGAGAAATTATCTGTATGTAGTGTACCTAGCTTTTTTTGCCATTGCTGTTTGATAATAAGTCTCCATTTGCAGGTACCTGTATTTGAGCAGGTTAGTTACAACCGGTTTGGCATCAGGTGTCATTGGTCGCCTTATACTTGGTTACATCTGCATTTTCCTTCACAGCCTGGTAGGTAATTTACTTTATGGTCTGCACTTAGACGTGCCTGCAAGTTGCATTGCATGAGCAGATTATGAGGCTTCCCTTCCTTCCTCTTTGTTGTGGCGTGAGTGAGCTCTCCACGCTTGTGTGCGCTTGGGAAAGACCTTTTTCTCCTGTGCTTGCTCTCCTTGCCATTATCGGGGTCGGGTACGTGTGTGGATCTGGCTCGCCGACCTTTATCGCTGGAGGAGCCCCACACCAACGCATCTGGCCTATTGCGCATGGTGGAGGTGCACTCTCTCCCCTTGTCCCCCCTCCCCTCCCCTCCCTTAGCTCTCTCTTCGCGCTGCGAGAATCTTGGCCCCCCCTCTCCTAGGAGCCCATTGGTTCCTGCCGTTCTCTTGTTTTTAAATGTGCGGATCATGTGCAGAGCTGATATCCTTCGTTGTAAAATGATGATTAGTTGTCTCGTTCTTCATGTTATCTACTGAGGTTTTGAGATTGTGCAATGATGAATTTTTTTAGTGAGACAATGGAATTGTGCAATGATGAATGATTATTTCATTCTTCCATGATTCTTGCCATTTGCATTAGTTTTGTGATGGCAATGTCATTATGGCTCAGCATTTCTCTTTTGCATGTGTTGTTTTGTTTTTATTAGTTGCTACATTTTGTGTGTTTGTTATTGAGCATAATTCCATTGTCAATGATGTCTTTGATCCACATAATTTGCTGGTTGTTATATTGCTGAGCGCACCCCATTGCCAATGATGTATTTACTCAGCACAGATTCATAGTTGGGTGGCTGCAATTGGTCCCTCTGTTTTGGTTTGCTACAGATCTATCCTCTTTGTTTCCTTCCTTATATGTTTTGGTCTTGTTCTTCTGGTACATCAACTAACACATTTAAGCTTAAGCTACACTACCCCTGCTGGTCAGTACAATTTAGAGGTTAGTATATATTGTGCCCTTTGTACTATGTTTACCTTTATTTTTGGAGGTTAGTATACATTGCCCATGCCGATCAGTACCATTTTTTTGTTGTTGTTGTATGTTCTAAATGCAGGATACAGTACTGCAATTGGAATTTCCAAGCATAAAAAACAATTTACTATGCTCCAGGTGAAGCATTATCTCTATTTTAAGTCTTATTAAGAACCTTGCTGTAAGTTCCATTTTTCATAAAGAGGTTGGTAGTGTGTGGTTTTCTAGAAAGGTGTGTTCTACATTGGTAACCTGTGGCAGAACCGCTCGAAATAACACGCTTTCGGAGGCGCTCGTCTTCCACTAGACACTAAGCATCCCGAAAGTTAGCTACATCAAACAGTTTCGTCGAGCACACCCTACGGGAGAACTCGAATCAATCCATGTTTTACCTCCAGAATCCAATAATGAGTACGAACTTACAATACTTAGTCCATTTCATACGACAAGAGTTTTTAGAAATTATTTATTACAATACCAGGGTTCAGAGTGCGATAATTAAACAGTGGAATAAAAATAAACATCTTGCGGAAAACGATGAGGATCCGTCTGTGCCCACTAGAAGAATCCTCCACACAGAGCTACTCTTCGAGTTGCACCTGCAACAGGGTAAAACAAAACCCTAAGTACACAATATACTCGCAAGACTTACCCGACTAGTGGGAATAGTTTTCCGACTCTAAGGGATATGATAGGCAATATGGGTTTGATGTTTTCTTTTTGTTTTCGAAAAGCATTACTAGAAGTACGTTCTTAAGATCAAATTTAATTAGCAGTCATGATTACTACATTAGCTAACCATTCTAGGTAACCACATGTTCTACTTTCAAGCAAGGGTTCAGTAATCAGAACCAATTTACCATCTTTTCATATTCCAGTTCTTACTACAGTGCTAGATCATAGCCAAGTCGTACCGTCTTACGGAAACAGCGATTCGCGAATCAATGTATCCCAGCTGGGTACCCCAAAACACACGCTTCGTTTATATCCCACGCACAAACAAGACCAACCCATTCCACTCCTGTCATGGGGTCCAAGTCCCTGTCCAAACTTAGACTCTAAGCCTCCACACTTAAGACCCGGTCTCAATATGGTGCTTAGGCCTTCACCTTTCCCCGCCTCCAATAAGTCGGTCCGGAAAGAGCCGGAACCTATGATAAGAGCGTAACGAGCCTTTCCGCTCCCATAAGCAAGTATGTGCTCAGGATAATAAGTTTGTGACTTAATTACCATCCACAGGAATGGATGGTCCTCAATCGACACAAACAGAGAAAATAGTGTAACCAAGCTAAGCCCCGTGGCCGCGGGACACAACACGTTACACTCATCAATACCCATACCATATCTCTACCCGGTCTCCATTCTCCTTTCATCATTTTTATCATGAGAGTAATTATAATAATCACCTATTATGAGTAACGACAAGTTACTCAAGCTACCGAAAATCTAAGCATAGCAGCTACTCGAACCTGCACTAGTAAGACTCATAGGATAGATATATCTATGTATGTGGTTTCCATAAAATTCCTGTAACGTAAATGCACATCACATTTATACATATAG